TTCTCTCTGTTACCTGTCGGAGCTCATGTGGGTTACAGTCAGCCTTTCTTGTCCCAGCTTGTAGAATGTTGAAGACTGCTGGAGGTGACTCCCACGGTGCTGGGGTACTTTAGTAGGGCTCATTATATCAGGTTCTTTACTGAGGATTGTGTCTTTCAATCCCAGTCGATTCACAGAGTCAACTGCACACAATGGCCATGTGTTCCTGTTAAAGGCATCCCTGTTAAGGTTCAGTGCTCTAAAGAGTTCATTCTTGATCTCACTTTCCCGAGCCCTGGTAATCAGTTTTGTTACAAAGCACATTGTTAATCGTTACGTCCTGGATTGGAGAGATGTGAGACCTGTCTCCAAGTGCAAGTTTTCAATTCTTGTCCACATTGGTGCCTTGACAATGACTCTCAGCGTTATTCTGACCAACCTCAAATTTCTCCCACTGGCACTCAGGCAGTGTGTTAAGAGCCGGTGCCTCACAATATGTTAATGATCGCATGGCGTGTATATATAGCGTTCTCAGGACTACATGTCCCGCACCCACCTTGGGTCCTGTCATGGCTCTCATCATGTTGACTCTCTTGCCCATTCGATCCCTAAGATAGTTTATCTCTTTGTCAAATTTGAGGCCTTTGTCAATCCAGATGCCCAGGTATTTGTATACATTGACCCATTGTAGGGCAATACCTTGTATTTGCAGTTGTGTCACCGGATCATTGTGTCCAATCCTCATGGCTTTCAATTTTGGGATTGATATCTTGAGCCCGAGACTCATACATTCTTCACTGATGAGGTCTAGTGCTCTTTGGACTTTGTTGATCTGGTTTCTGCCTTTTACTAAGTCATCAGCATAGCATAGCAATCTGGAACCCTCTTGAAAGGGGAGCCGACACAAGTTTTCCATGAGGATGTTGAAGAGAGTTGGACTAAGAACTCCTCCTTGTGGTGTGCCATTTCCCAGTCTTTGGTAGTCTGAAACTTGTCCTTGACAGGTAACTCTTGCTGTTCTGTTTTGGAGATAGTTGGCAATCCAAGTTAGTAAGCATCCCTTGACGCCTTTCCGGGCCAGAATGGTTACAATGGCCTGTGCATTTGCCAGCTCAAATGCTTTCTCTAGAGCAAGGAATACTACGATTGCCTTATTTTGACCAATCGATCCCAGGAGAGTGGCCAAACTGTGTGCACTGCTGACACCTTTGGTGAATTCAAAGATATTGTGGTGAAGTGGTCCAGTTTTCCAGAGGAGTCATGCAAGGACCATCCTTTCGGCGGTTTTGCCGATGCATGCTGTTTGTGATATTGGTCTGAAATTCTAGATTGGGTTTGGGGATGGGAGCAATGTTTGCCCTTTTCCAAGCTGACGGGAGTTCGCCTGCTGACCATGATGCGTTGATTACTGTTAAAAAGGCAAGTTCACCAGCAAGTCTTGCATTGCTGAGCAATGAGTAAGTTTTACCATCACTGCCAGGGGCGGTGTCTTTGCTTGTTTTCCTGGCCCTTCTTTTTTCTTCTATAGTAAACAGACAGTCTGTAGTGTCAGTTTGTTCAAGTGCATGTCTGACTATTTCTTCTCTCCCCAGTTGTACTTGCTGTAGATGAAGTTTTATTTCAGGAGGTAGTTGAGCTGATGACGAGCGTTCTGCAAAGTTCTCTGCCAAGCTATTTTTGCTTCCTGTAGTGGCTGAGGGTGGGCTGAAGCTCTGGGCGGTTTTCCTGTTGCTATCCTGAGTTTTCTCCAGAGTTCACTCAGGCTGGTGTGTGCATTAAAGGTTGCACACCACTCGAGCCATTTGTCTTCCCTAATTTTCAGAGCGATTTGACGAGCATGTTGGACAGCATCTCTCAAGAGTTTCACTCCCTCAGGGTAAGGGTACTGCCGGAGATGTCTTCTGAATGTGTTGATTCTGTGATTTTGTTCTCTGACCTCGACATTGTAGAACCAGTATGCATTCCCATACTCATACAATCTGTCTCACTTCAAAACGCTGGTTTTCCGGCATCTTCGTGGTGTACTGTATATTAATATAATATTTTATTTATTTTATTTTATTTTTTGTTTACTCTTATTTTTTTTCGCCTCCCACGCCCCGTAGTGGGTCGATGACCAGTGCCCGGGTGGGCTATTCCCCGTAAAAAAAAAAAACTATTCTAGTAATTAGGGGCCTCTGATCTGCGTGTATTATGTTGCTACATTAACAGCAAATTTGTTAGTATGGCTTGCAGACACATAACACAGAGAGGGAGAGAGAGAGTCCGTTGTGTCAACTGACCACACCTTATACACACACTCACACAGGGACACACGTTGGCTGTGTGTGTGTGTGTGTGTGTGTGTGTGTGTGTGTGTGTGTGTGTGTGTGTGTGTGTGTGTGTGTGTGTGTGTGTGTGTGTGCTTGCGTGTGTCTGTGTGTGTGTGTTATGATGGGCAGTGATGTGCAGTCGTTCATTACAATAGGTTACTATATTAGCAATAGTAATATTAACCTGGGTATACCTCTTGCCCCGATAATGTCCTGAATTATTAAAATAACTTAAACTATAAGAAATTTAAGAAAATCAACATATCTTGGTTGTTTGTCATCCTATCACAATAATTTTGATGTCACCCAAAATGCTTTCAATGCTAAGGAATCTATTTCTTTCGTCAACAAGAACCTCACAGATGGGGGTGCAGAGCGGTTAGGCATGTACCCACTTTAACAGTATGCTGTCTGCTGTTCCTCGGCAATGTGTCAGCCCCCCCCTGACTATTTCAACAGACGTTCAATCACTTGATCGGGGAACTTTCCTCCCCAGAAATGTTCACTGCGTCGTATTGTGAAATGTCCATTCTCAGTGAAAAGCTTCAAGTGACCTGTTGTGATAGTCAGCCGATGGTCCTTCATCTGCTGAACATAGAAACGGGCTTATGCAAGATAACCAGCTGTGTGGAAGGGGGGATCATCTTACAGATGCAGCAGAGGTGCAGTTCCCAGCCATCTATCCTCTTAGCCCAGAGAAAAAGGCGCACAACGACATGTTCCAGACAATTTGTCCACAATTTATCTGTTCTACTCTGGGCAGCAGCGTCAGGCATCAAGTCTGAGATATTCCGTGCTGCTGAACACTGAGTTCGTTCTCAGTGTTGGCGGTAACGCATTCATGTGTCATCAGTGTCTGATCTAACAGACGTAAGCGAGTAGGGTTTATATTCTGTTTGCAGCCTGAGTTGCAGCAGGATGGACACAATAGCAGTTGGCGATGAAGGATGTGTTCGCAGAGTTTGTTCATATGCCTATACAGATTAAAATGTACATACAGGTAACAGTTGTAATTGTCCATTTATAACTTTAAAACAAGCCACATTTTTATGGTTCTACAATATAGACTGAACCAAATACCAGCAAATTAGTGCATTTTAGTATTTCACCTTGCCCTCAACTGGTGACCTTGACTCTGTGATGTCCCATTTCTTTCATTATAACTGCAAAGGCCTGAACTTGTCTATGATCCATCATTAAATTTATTGTTTTAAGAGAATTAAGTTGGATTTATTGATATGTATATGGTTGAATCGTGGAGCTCTAGCATATCGGCGGCCATCATTGATGCCATCTTTAATTATAAAATTCTTCAAGGTGTTTTTGGTATTATTTGGATATGTTGACCTCGGCATGATTCCTCACCATTACTGTAAATTTCAACTTTGGGCCATTTTTTTTTCATTCCAAATCTAATGCTCCTGGACTACTGCCAGCACTACCAGGTAGAGGCAGTTACCTGAAAATTTTATCTGGTAAGACGATGTTTATGCTCATGTCAGTTTTGTAGTTACTCCGCAAACAACTTAGGGCCGGGCGTTTCACGCTTTTGCACTTTGTTTCGAAGCAAAATTTAAAAGTTAAGTTGACCACAACAAATCTTTGGTAGTTTTTTCATGTTAATATTTCCGAATACGAGACACAGTGACGTCGACTGTATTTACGAAGAACGAAACACGATGGCACTATTGGATTACTCTGAGGGGAGTAGTGTGTTGGGGTGCGCGGGAATGTACTGTACACTCAGGGAAAACGGGTGAATATAATTATGTAGGGGAACTGACACAGAATATTTTGCTGTATAGGGAAAAGCTTTGCGTTGGACATGATTTTTTGGTGTAAATTATGGCTGGCGGAGGACATGACGGTGGTAGTGAGAAGTTGGAACTCACCTGACCACCTCCACCCACCGCAACTTCCTGCACCGCCCCTGCTACCACCTGGCCACCTCCGACTTGTCTCTCTCCCCACTACCTATATCTTTAGTTTTCTTCCCTCCACTAAAATGAAAGTTTTGATATATTAAACTTTTTTTTCTTTACGTTGCTGTTATATTTGTAGTTGGTGTTATACTGTAACTGTCACGTTGAACACCTGGCGCTAAAGGACTGTATAATTTTCTATTTATTTTTTAATAATCAGTTCACCACTTATCAGCTTACTAGCTGTTCAGGCGGTTGGTACCTTCTTTTGTTACTTTGTTATAACTTTTATTGTCCAGTGTTAGTACAGGAGGAAGTTAGAGTACCAATGAGGTAACCTGAAATGTTAGGAAGTGTGATATAAGAAAAACGCTTCCCTCGTGTCTTGGGTCAGTACTCGAACCCATGAGGTAATAGTGAGGACCATGCACATTACCACTGTAGCGCTCTAGTCACTTTCTCCGCTGACACTTCACTTTACGTTAGGTTCTTCAGTAGTGGAAAACGGGAACTCTAGGGAGGCAGGTGTAATAGTTTATCAAGAGTGTCAGAGTTTGGTAGAGACAGTTGGTCGTCTAATTTATCTGTTGTCAATATTTTGTATATAATTTTCTTATATTTCTTTTTCTCTTAATGGCAGAAGCTTTTGGGCGGATATTTTGCTGCCAATAGTTCCTGTCATTCTCTGTGAAAAGTGGATTAGTGATTCACCTATTATTGTATACACTGCATTGTATAGATAAATTTGGTACAGTACACTAGATAAATAGTTTTCTTCTTGTTTCAGGTTTTATCGTGCCATGACACAGCTGGAAAAGAAGTGACTCGCTCAAGTGATTGAAATGAAATGTTCTTAAAATTTTTGGATAATTGATATATAAGTAACACAAATTCACGAATTAATCTAAAATGAATTGGTGTAGAGTTAAACTTTCTGCGGTGTTGATGTTAATACTAAATTGAAATTATCATTGGTTGGAAAAAGCTGAGCACTGTACCAAACCCTCCAATAACTCCTTGTGTGGTGTCATGGTGTGCCTGCAGGAAGAACAGTGTCATTTATGTGCTTAGCTTTAGTCACGTCATCAGAACGGACGTCAGCCATGTGATCAGTGCCATATGGTTGTTACTTATGTACGATGAGGTTTCCTAAGATATTTGACGGCGGCTCTTTTACTCGTCGTCGTCCAGAGTCTGTCTTAGCAGGTGGTGGAGCCGTTGAGAAGAGATCTCACTGTGTCCAGGGGGAGAAAGACAGTCGCGAACAAAGTGGAGAAGCTGTGGAGAAAAGAGAGGGATGTTGTTCTGTGGGTGATGGAGCCACAGGAGCTGTCAGATACGGGAGAAGCAAACAGAGCTCAGCTAATATACGTCGAGAGTCAAAAATCTCCCTCCTGTCGAAGGTATATGGACCAGATCCTGTCGAAGACGTTCTCAAGACTAGTAAAAAAGATGCCCGGGATTCAGGGACTAATAAAAAAGAAACGAAAAGATTCTCTGGATTTGGCAGACGGTTTTCTATCCGTGCTACAGGGACAACAAAGACGGTGTCTATCCTCCGTCGCAGCAACACACTTCCACCGCAAGGAACATCTAGTCCTGGGGACAAGTCATCACAGAAGCTCAAGTTATCAGTACCTTTAACTGAAGAGATAGGGGATCCTCTCAGCGTTAGTTCATCAAAAAATATAAAGAGTGGCAACAAGGCCGCCAGAGAACGTGCCCAGCATGTCAACCAAGATCCCGAATGTCGCGTGTTCACTTCTCAGGACTTCTGTGACGCCAAGACACTCACTCCGAAGAAAAACAACCACCTTGCCGCCCAACCATCCAGAGAGCAGTATGTCGAGGCTCGGGTCAGTCAATATATCTCCTCTATAACCTGCAGGGACGGTGATCTATCTCGAGGGTCTTCTGTTTGTACTTTGCGTTATGAAGGGTCGGACATCACGCCTCACTATCTCAGCGCGTCTGAGGTCGCTGTCTCAGAGGTCACGTCCTGTGATCTTCCACTTGTTGACTTGACCTCTAGTGACGCCACACTGCCAGTCAGTCCCTACAGTACTTTCACCTCCGACTTCAACCCGAGTGTTACTTTGGACGTTCCTTCTGCACACCAGACGTCATCTGTGGTAGGAACCGGTACTGCCCCCTTCCCTACCACGCCTACCACCTCACAAAGCCACGCGAAACCTCCTGTCCGCATTTTGAATTCCCTCTCTCATTTTCTGGCCTCATTCAGAGATTTCAGAGCCACAACAACCCGGGAGACCTACGAGAACGCAACCACCAGCTCTTCTGGTCAGAGCTGTGATAACTCTATAGCCTTGTCCAATTACCCGCTCCGGGATAGGTCACAGTGCAGCCCATCATCAAGTTTCACCCTCTCATCAGGCACTGGTAGCGATGGAGGTCAAGAGTCAAGTGTTGTTAGTAGCATTGGATCACAAGGTCACAGGTGCCCCCAGTGCCAGGTCAACTTTCTGACGAACAGACAACTACTAGAGCACTGGTCGGTCTTCCACACTCATGATGTACTTCAGCTGGCCCTCTCTCCTCTCCACCGCCTCCATCACTGCGGGGGCAAGAAAGAGGAGGTGCAGAGGAAAGGAGAACAAACGAGACTCATAGAGGACAATATTGAACGAAGAAAAATATCCCTAACGCATCTCGCCCTCGACATTCCAAGTGAAAAGGTAAGTAAGAAGAGCTGAATTATTTGTTTAAATTCATTAAGTATCATCTAAGTATGGTTCACTGTTTACTAGTAGCTATATATACTGTGCGCCGTGTCTTATATAATTTGTATATTAATTTGGATAAGGTTTGCAGCATTATATCAACGTCAAAGGTAAAGTTTTGTATACCATTTTTGTACTTTTTGGCTGGTTGATCATTATATTAAAAACTCTAAATATAACTGATGGCTTAATGTACAGTTTTATATGATCGTAATCCGGAAATGGATAAAGGCTTGGTAGAAGAGGTTGTTCGTCGTTGCTTTTTTTATAAAGTCCGTTTATTATGATTTTCTTGTTTAATAGTATGGCAACCATGTTGTGTTGTCCACTGTTAAACGCTTCATTTTTTTGTTCAGATTCTCACGTGTTTGTGAAGAATCTTGTCTCTTCTGTTTTACCTCATATTTATAGTTTATCTTCATTACAGGTACACGTTTCTTGCTTAAGATATTTATATGCACCTTAACAACATACTTGGTACCACCAATACTACAGCTATATGTAAAAATGGTCAGTTTAATGTGATTCATGAGTGTTATGTGGCACCTTATACGTATAGCTGCAAAATTTGTGCAGATAGCAGTCCATTGTTATGTTAGTAATTTCATCACTTGTACGAGTTGTTGTAGGCTGCAAAAAACAACGTTCATATTCTTGAGATTCGTGTGTTAATTTTTTTTAAGTCGCCATATTTGTATCGTCCTTTTAAATGAGACATACGTGCTTACATTCCTTGTTCCAAAAAATATAACGAACGAACCTTTGTGGTAACCGAGACACAGTTTAGCGACATCATCACTTAACCTTACTCAGTGAATTAATGACGTCATAGCTCCATAGCAACCAGCGACGCTCAATATATCTTGTATTTTTCTTCTCTGGAGAGTAAGAGTCACTCGGTATAGAAGAAAATTTTATACACCAAGTCACAAAGACACGTTTGTTTGTTACCAATGTTTTTAGAGGAAACGTATAATATTTTCTCCTATACCGAATGACACACACACACACACACATATATATATATATATATATATATATATATATATATATATATATATATATATATATATATGTGTATATATATATATATATATATATATATATATATATATATATATATATATATATATATATATATATATATATATATATATATATATATATATATATATATATATATATATATATATCGAAGACGTTTGTAAAATAATCAATTTCAGTGAATCAGAATTACTCATAACCTAGTGACTTAACACTAGAAATATGATAATATTAACCTTTTTTTTATCAAGGAGTGAATGATTTTATGAAATTTGTTCATATGGAATTATTTTTTTTTGTGTGAATTAGGGTCTTTGAATCCTTTATACACAAATCGCTGAAAGGTTTCTCCTTGTAGATGCACTTAATCTACAAGAAATTGTAAATTGACCATTGCAGCAATAAACTGAATTTCCCTTTGGCTTCTCAAGCAGGAGGTAATAATGTCAGGATCATGAAGTTCTTCAGTATTGCAATTGGTCTTTTAAAATGCATTCTGCATCTTGCAAAGACTTTTATTACGTGCACTTTGTTCGGGTCAATTGTAAATAAACTTGGGGAGACTTGGGAAAAATAACGGTGTAGTAAACTAAAGTCGAGGTGTTTTCAAAGACTACCAATGTTTAACTTCTCTTGTTGTTCGAAATGCTGAACACGGATCAGGATAAAGGGATTTGTTGGGGATTAAGGCAATTTAGCTCACACGAACAACCAACAAATACAAGGGGTTAAAAAGCTGGCGGAGAATTGGTTAACTTCCACAATATTGACTTAACGAACTTTAGTATATGTCAAACACAAACTTGATTTCTTTTCAACCTTACATTATACGAATGTGTGTATCTAGGGTTGACGGGACGAGAATGAGCTTTAATCCATGTGTAAAGTTAGTTACGTGTAGGAAGGGAGGTGAAGTGGGGCTTTGCTGCGATCTCCAAGTGCCAACTCACACTGGAAGGCCTGTGATATTGAGAAGTGTGAAATGTGCAGGGTTGTAATAATTTTCTCTACAATCTTTGTTATAATGGCAGTGAGCAGCATCACAGAGCACATGTTATCAGCAGCACTATTGAATAACAGCACTGAAGTGAGTGTCTGTTTTTTCCCACCCTGCGTTATAGCAGGTAAAAGATTTAAAAAGGTTAAATAAAACTTTCTCTGTGTTGGAGATGATGATGATGAAGCAGGATGACTTTTCTTATGTTGTAAAGCTCATTTTGTAGTTTGTTGCACGCATATTTCTATTGTGTTCTGCGTTAGGAAACACATTTGATACTGCTGCCAGTTGGAAATTACTGTACCTGTTCCTAACGATACTATAACCATCTGGAAGTTCTGGTCAGTATCAGCTTCAACAGATGCGCTACTTTGTAGAAATTACTTCTCTTAATGATGGCGATACTGTACGTAGACACTACTGTGTAAATGCAACCAGTGCTCTACTATGTGGAATTGCTGTATCTAAGGCTTAGAATAATTTAATATTTTTGAGTACCTTCAAATACTTCATAAACGATATAAACTTTCCTTACAAGTTTCTCAGAGAGCAATATTCTTGTTTTTTCTTAAACAAATATTAGGCACTATTCAATCCACCTCAGTTTAATGGAAAGAGAGCAAGAATTTTACGGAAACTTGGTTACTTGGTGTAATAGAAAATGTATCGCAAAATTTTGGTTTCACAAATGTAGATACGAATCACACTGCGTCAATTATGTGCCTCAAACTTTAAAGCGATGTCATTATTTTATGATACCATTATTATGTTTATTTTTTGTAATTATTTGCCAAATTTTTTGACTCTGAAATGAGGATGAAGGGAGAGTGACGTCCACTGTCTCACTCACGACGACACCACGAACACCACCACAATTATCCAAATTCCAGACAACAGCTGCTCTCGTGCTTCGCCACTCACAGACACACACACACACACTATTACTACTACTACTCCTACTACTTTGCTGTCACCAATGTTGATGAGTTCTGAGGTGAATAAAGAGGCCGATAGGGGTCCGGCATAGTCGTTCACAAATGTTGCACATGTGGGGGGCTACATGTAGTGCGGGAGGAGGGGCAGCAGCGTCTTTCCGGTGATGGCGCTTGTCTGCCTCGGTATGCAGTCGGGCTAACACGAAAGTATTGACACCTTCCCGTGTGGTGCTCCTCCAAGTGTTACTGTGTGGAGTAATCGTCTCCCAGGTGAGAGGGTCGATTTGGCACTTTTTCAGGTTTGTCTTAAGACTATTCTTATACCTTTTCAGTTGCCCGCCAGCGTTACGTTTACTATTCGTTAGGTAACTGTAAAGTAGCTGCTTTGGCAGTCTACTGTCATCCATGCGGGTAACATAGCCAGTCCAGCATAGTTGTTCATGGATAATGGTAGCTTCGATGCTCCTACAGTTGGTGTCAGCAAGAATACAGGCATTTGTTCTCTTGTCTTCCCAGCGGACTCGGAGGAAGGAACGAAGACTACGTTGGTGAAAGTCTTCGAGTGGGGAGGACCACTGCTCGATCTACGTGTAACTTTGTAGATTATTTCAGCTCCCTACAGCTGTAGACACGGTTTCGGAGTCTGCCAAAAGCTTGAAACGTACATCTGATCCGATGCTGAATCTCCTTTTGATATGCATCCGAATACGGGGCATTTATCAAAATTATCAGGCATTGTCATAGACATTCACACCACGACGGCCAGCTGGTAACTGACGTACCACCCCGGACCAACCAACCAACCCCCACCCTCCCGGGCTGCCGGTCAGATGACGTCATGCGCAGTGAAGGACGAATTTTCGACTCCAAGTGGGTTGACTTGGTATAATTAGACTTTGATCCTATCAACAGTTTCATTATTATCGGTTCTGTGGGAAACAAAATATGGAGCAGTTTTTCATGCTTCGTTGTCGTTGCAAACTATTAAGTTTAGTCGTCACTATGTTCACTTTGGTACAGAGCTTTTTACCACTGAATTTTAAAAGCTGTGGCGCAATTTTCACACTACCGATGCCATCTCGAAGTGTGCAGCATTGATAACGGTGGCAGTTTCCCTCCCACACTGATATGTATGGTGCTTGCAGTTTTCTAGCTGAGTTTACCAATGAGATTGTTGCAGTCCTCCGGTGTTTAACTGAACGCACAGGAACTGATGATTATTACGAAACTTAGGAAGAGAGAGAGAGAGAGAGGTAATAATGAGTTCAGTATATCTAATCTGCTGTAAATCTAGATTACAGAAAATGAAAGATTCCAGTTGTAAATGTAAATTATGGTAACGGGAAAGTCTGTGATGTAAAAAATGATAGCGAAGGAAACATATTTCTGTCGATAAGAAGATAGGAAAGTTATCTTAAGATGCTGTAGATGTTAATAGTGACGAGAGATAAATCTAGTGTAAACAGGTGTATAAAACAAGAAGCAGAGAAATTGGCTGCAAACGCAACTGCTGCAGATTTCAGTAACAACGAAGAAAAAGACGTCGGCCGTTAAAAGAAATATTAACATACCAGATCTGTCCAAGGAAGCGTAAAGTAGCCCTGGATATTTCTTCCGTCACACTCCGTTGAGCGAATACACGGGAAGGCTTTTATGGTGTATAACGTACAATACCCTGCAGGCTACCTGGGGATACAGGCACGAGATGATGGCTGAGGGATATGTTTAGGCTATGTATTATTAACTGATGTTTTTCTTCTATTTCTCATGCTGTCCTCACGCTGAATTAAGAAGAAAAAATCCAGGTTAGTTTTATAATTTTTGGGCAGGAGAGAGAATGCGTGTATGAAATCGTTTGCTTATAAATAATGCTAGATACTATTTTTTGTATTAAATAATAATAATAATAATAATAATAATAATAATAATAATAATAATAATAATATATTATTATTATTATTATTATTATTATTATTATTATTATTATTATTATTATTATTATTATTATTATTTTTATTATTATTATTATTATTATTATTATTATTATTATTATTATTATTATTATTATTATTATTATTATTACTAATTTTATTATTTTTACTAGCGGAATCGCCGCCCTCCGGGCGGGTCTTTCGCTAGGCCACGGTAGGACGCCACCCTCCGGGAGGCTCCACATTGTCTCACTGTAGTGCATTAAGGTAGACCACATTTTTGGTTTTGCCATTAGCAGCAAGTATGTACAGATTTTTGCCAGTTCCCACTCTGGAGCATCCAACATAGAACTGTCCATGAGAGAAGCAAGGAAACACCAGGTTTAGGCCAACCATCTTTAGGGACTGTCCCTGGCTTTTGTAGATGGTCATGGCAAAGCTCACTTTAACCGGGAACTGAAGTCGCTTGAACTCAAATGGCAGGTCAGTGGTGATGAGAGGTATCCTTGGTATAAAAACGTCCTCTCCTTCAGCTTTTCCTGTCAGTATTGTAGCTTCCAGTACATGTGGCATCATGTTCTTCACCACCAGTCTTGTGCCATTGCAGAGGATTGGTGGTTCAAGATTTCTTAAGAGCATTATAGGAGTTCCAATCTTGAGAGTGAGGTGGTGAGGAGGCATTCCAGCGGGCTCCAAAGAATTAAGGAATTCTGCAGGGTACTGGACTCCTTGGTCCTGGTCGATTACTGTATCAACAGATTTGAATGAGGTCTCACTGCCTGGAAGCTGTCCGAGTAGAGTCATGTTGATTTCAGCCACTGTTTCATTCTTTGGTGCCAGAATTGCACGTTCACGCAGCCACTTGTGATCCTTGAAGTGGTGGATAATGTTTGGGTAGACCATGTTACTGAGCTCAGTTGAAGACTTTACAACATTTCCACATCCTTGAGGAATGATTATTTGTCCTTTTGGATCAACAGGGAAAGTTCCATTCCCAATCTGTAGTAGAAGGTTTGCAAACCGTCCAGCATTCTGATCTCCTTGTACATGTACTCTCATGTTTGTGGATAGGGTGAGTGTCTGAACACTTCTCTAAAGGTATGATGCCTTGAGGCACGCATTCAGTTCATCAGCTGGAGTGCTTCGAGGAATGACAGGTAGGGTCTGGCGAAAGTCTCCAGCAATGTCCATTGTAATGCCACCCATGAGCTGGTCATTTTCTCGTATGTCTTGCAAGGTCCTGTCCAATGCTTCAAACGCTAACTTGTGAGACATAGTTCATTCATCCCAGACTATGAGGCTGCATTTTTCTAAGAGTTTTGCCTTTGCCGATCCTTTTTTGATGTTGCACACTGGATTCTCATTGTGAGCGAGGTTGAGAGGCAGTTTAAAAGTTGAGTGTGCAGTACGTCCTCCTTCTACAGTAGTAGTGTTGCAGCAATGCCTGAGGATGCCACAGCAAGAGCAATTTTCCCCTGATGACGTACTTTGGCCAACAGAAGGTTGATCAGCAATGTTTTTCCTGTCCCGCCAGGTGCATCGAGAAAGATCATTCCTCCCTGCTCCGCTTGTATCGTTTTGCAAGATCTGTTCATAAGCATTTGCTTGATCAGGCACCAGGTGAGGCTCATTTTCTTCAAGAAAATTCACCAGAACTTCAACTGAGTAGTCTGTCTCTCTGAGCAACTCCCTGTTTGCAACTACTGTTCAGTCCCCAAAACTTCTTCTTCCATCAATAGTTCATTAACGGTGTGTGTAAATTCCACTACAACGGTACAGCAAAGTATATTTTTTTAGCATTAAACTGTTATTATTTTATTGTCTAATTATCACTACATATAACACCACCCATCATCACTACATATAACAACATCCATCATCACTACATATAACATCCTCCATCATCACTACATATAACACCATCCATCATCACTACATATAACACCATCCATCATCACTACGTATAACACCATCCATCATCACTACATATAACACCACTCATCATCACTACATATAACACCATCCATCATCACTACGTATAACACCAACACCATCCATCATCACTACATATAACACCATCCATCATCACTACGTATAACACCATCCATCATCACTACATATAACACCACTCATCATCACTACATATAACACCATCCATCATCACTACGTATAACACCATCCATCATCACTACATATAACACCATCCATCATCACTACATATAACACCACTCATCATCACTACATATAACACCATCCATCATCACTACATATAACACCACTCATCATCACTACATATAACACCATCCATCATCACTACAGATCGGTAAAGTAGTTTCCGAGATTCTCGTGCAGACACATAAACAAACACACAGACAGACTTCTTCGTTATATATATATATATATATATATATATATATATATATATATATATAGATTATTAAACCTTAACAGATACATACTCATACTATGTTATGAAAATTATTCTTCATTTAATGTTGTTCGCAAACTACAAGTTGTCTAAGAGGTGTTAGGTGAGCGCTCCTGGAGGTACTGATGAATGGGTTGGTATTAACATAGAAGGCTTCGTATGTTAATAATTACTCTGCCAGTTTCCTCTCCCAAGATCACCGAAGAAGGAAGTTTGTGTGTATATTTGTGTGGCTTTGTGTATATTAACGTGTGGATACGCGCGCGACCATTCTAAAAATTTAATTATGGCATCGTCACTAAGCTTACACCCTCAAAGTACAATAATAGTTATTAAGTTAGACGACTCTTCTCATATTTCTGTGTTCTTCAAAAATCAAACTGCCGTCCATAGAGTCCCACAACCATCCATAGAGTTCCACAACCATCCATAGAGTCCCACAACCGCCCATAAAGCCCAACGACTGTCCATAAAGTCCTACGACCGTTCATAGAGTCCAACGACACCCTCAAGTTCCCCCATAGCCCTGAAAAGTCTTACGGCGTCCTCAAAGTCCACCAACGCCCTCAAAGTCCTATGACCATCTTCAGTGCTATATGACCGTCCTTGGAGATAGACGACTCGTGACAAAGTTTACTTTTTGGGGATGGCCTCTAAAATAAAAAAGTATATTGAGAGAGCATCCTCAGCGGACATTTCAAGACGTCACGAGGATCGTGTCCACCTCTCCATGAGAAAGCAGGAGTCCTCAGTGCCGGGCCCTCTCAGTGGCACTCCTTAGAAGATGTTGGTTAAGTTTGCAGGGCGAGCGTCGTGGGGGGGGGCAGGTCTCAATGGATATTCGGCCGCGCGCTGGTGACCAAAGTTAGCAACACAGACACTCGTATGGATTTCTGCATCCTTCTCTTACTGGTGGGAACTGTACCCTATTTATAGTGGGTGGGCATGGGTGGTGATGGTATTGGTGGGGGTATTGGTTGGAGATGGGTGGAGGTAGTGTTGTTGAGGGGATAGTAGATGGGGTGGATGGTTGCAGTGAAGGAGGGTAGGGTGGGAGTAGTGTTGGTGGGGATAATATTGGGTGGATGGTTGCAGTGAAAGGAGTGGGGTGGGGAGTAGTGTTGGTGGGGATAGTAGATTGGGGTGGATGGTTGCAGTGAAGGAGGGTAAGGGTGGGGGTAGTGTTGGTGGGGATAGTAGATGGGGGTGTCTAATGGTAATAGTGTTGATAGTGGTAGTGGTGGTGGGCTTGGATGGACTTGGGTGGTGATAGTGATGGTAGGGATGGATAGTGATAGTGATAATTTTTATGGTGATGTGGGTTGTAGTTACTAGTTATTCGTATTGGTCCTAATAAAGAGGAGTAGGAAAAGTAAAGTTAAAGTGAGATGCTGAAGAAGAAGAAGAAGAAGGAAGAGGAGTAATAATAGCAGAAGGAGAAGTAAGAGCAGGAGAAGAAGAAGGAGGAGGAGGGTTAATAAGATGCGACACTATACTAAAGCGACAGTAGCGGGCGAGGGGGACTGGTGCTTCGGGATCAACCAGCGCACGCAAGTATTTTTATCCCCCCTCCCCCCCCCTCCCCCTCCCCCCCTCCAGCTTCTAACAATATCTGACCGGTATCTTAAAAATTTCAACTCTCTAAAAATTTATTAGCGTCTGAAATGAAAAATTTATAACGATTTCTTAGTTACACATTTTGTCAATAATTCCTGCAAATACATATTTCCGAATGAAAATTTTGTCTTGAATTCCATTGTGATATCTTACTGAAATCTGAAGGAATGTTGTTGGATTGATTCTTGTGATAGTCATCTCATGAGACGCGCGTGTGTGTGTGTGTGTGTGTCGCGTAACCCTATTATAAAGGAGATCCCACTCTATACTCTGGAAGGGCAGGGGTGGGAGGGAGGGGATGGAAGTGGTAAGAAAAGGTGTTGAAAGGGGTAAAGTATGGAGGGGGCATAGGGTGGAGGAGGCAAGGAGAGGTAGACTCGAAATTGGGTTAAAACCAAAGTTGTCGCAGGGTTTTTGAGTATCGAGGGAGGATATCTGCCTGGCGCCCGGCTGGACGTCCCCGACAACGCTGTGGTCCTCACCCTTCATTCACGTCTCCATAGCGATATAGTGATACAACTTTGCTTCACAAAGTGTATATACTTCATCTGAGGTAACCACAAGATTAAACATGACGTAGTGTATAAGTAAACTCGTGGGGGCCATGTTACAGCATATCGGGCTGTGGACTGATCGATAGCGCTTGGTGGTGCAATAATCTCTATGATACTTGAGTGTTTTTATTTTTTCCGAGACAAGGAAGTCAAGAGCAGAAGGATCTAAATGGCTGATTTAAGATACAACATAAGGTTGGCGGACAAAAGATCGTCGAAGTTACACTTGAGTCTGTAGTGTAACAAGATGCGTCCTCACAACCCCAGATAGGGGGAAAATTAGCATGTGAATCTATGAGGATCCGGACCCGCTTCGGTCTCTGCTCGGGCCCTGTTTCTCAGGATTACTCGGAATGTGTCTTCTTCTCTTCCTTGAATCTCTCACCGCCTCCTCTTGATCACTCAGCCAACCCTTTCGTCTGTTTGTTTGTCTGGTACTTAATGCCTTGACACAAGGTCCTACATGGGGCTGTTTTACTAACGTTCATCCATTAATGATGACACATAGACCTTTGTCATTTTTTGGGGGGCGGAGGCAGATGCTAATCAGGTGGCCAAGGACATATGTTTTCCGGGTTTGGGTGTTGACTTTATTTGGAAAGCACGTTTAAAATGTCTACAATTGCCTTACGGCGTTTGAACACCCCCCCCCCCCGTCACCAAAATGGCACAACGCCTTCTATTATATAATAATTCTAAAGTGCCAGAATGAAACTCCAGAATGACCGATAGCGAATATCAGAAGCCATGTTTATCATTGGAAATTATTGGAATATTAAAATAAAAAAAATGTCCTCCTCAGATGAAAATGCTGTTTTATTCAGAAGTTAACAAAAGTTAAGTGGCTGTAAGTGAATAAGCTCCACATTCTTTAGCCTATGTGTGGCATCAAGCACTCAGCGGGATATTGTCACTTGCACACTGAGCCGATATAGTACACTTAGTATCACCGCAACATGAGTTTTATAGGAGCAGTTTCTTTATAATAATTCGTCCTTGTGCAACACTTATTTTGAAACATCATACAGTGTAATTTTTAGTCACGAACCTCAAATGCTCACTACTGTATATTTTATTCCAACTGGTCTAAATCTCTGTTTATTGCACTGTCTAAAATATAGTAATCATCTAGGGTTCACGAATGAAAAATGGCTCTGTATACCCAACTGCTGTTAGTGAGTCCAATTAAGACTTTTCCCAGAGTTGCAAAGTGACCAGCGTGCTCTCCATATGGTGACGAGTGTTGCTTAACGAAGTAGACATTTTTTACTACCTGTGTGGTAAGACAAACTTGTTTCACGTTTTCTTCAAAGTTGAGCTGTGACTGTTTCAATAATCAAGTTCAAGCATTAATATATTTATATCGTTGGTATTTACCACAAATTGCTAAGGCCATCTGTAACCACTGTGAAAACTGTTTTCATATTTTAATAATTGCAATATTGTCCGTGTTCAGGCAATAAACACGAAGTTCCCAAGCGCTTTCGTGTAATTCACATCTTCAGGGGTGAGTACAGACTAAGGATTAAAACTTGACAAGTGTTAGGACAGGCCGGGAATCCAATGCTCTGTTCATTCACATGAGAGATAATAAGCATTGCATTGACTGGGATAATGCCTCCTCAATATTATCTTATAATTCAATTGTTAGTAGGAACATTATACTGTAGAATCCAGTCTCATTAAACATACCGAATCTGTCAACATGAATTTGAGTAATGGTATGTACAAACTGGATAATTTTGTGATTAAGAAGATTTGTAACCAGGTGAGAAGGTTGGGTCATCTTACCCTATGACCTGAATACGGACAGCTGCTGTGCTTAGAGATGGCATGGTCAATTTTTTTATTAAGAAGATTAGTTAGGATCACTGCCTTATGACCGGAACATTGTGGACACCTGCTGTCCCCAAGGGACTTGACCTCACTCTCCTCTACTGTATATATTAGCCTTGTCAATTATTAATCCTTAGTCTATATTCACCCCTGAAGATGTGAATTACACGCGCACCTACAGTGATTTACTTGCATATATATATATATATATATATATATATATATATATATATATATATATATATATATATATATATATATATATATATATATATATATATATGTGTGTGTGTGTGTGTGTGTGTGTGTGTGTTTTTAATATTTGCTGCTGTGGTAAAATGAAAACTTGAATTGATTTCCAAATTATGTTTATCAGACATCTATTTGTGAAAATCACAAGATAAGTGACTTTAAACCTGTCAACTGGGAGTAAAGAACAAGAAACTTGGACGATAACTAGAAATAAATACTGAGTTAATAGTGTAGTAGAATATTAATGCCATTTTCTTTGGTTACAAGTGGGAAAACACTAATAAGAACATAAGAAAATAAGGAGTCTACAATAGGCCGGTTGGCCTGTGCATGGCAGCTCCTGTCGAGAGTTACTACCACTCTCTACCATCCATGAATCTATCTAGCCTTACTACAAAGTTGCTAAGCTTGTTCCACTCGTCCGCCACCCTATTTGTGAACCATGTTCCTTCCTATCTCCCTCCTAAACCTAAATTATCCAACTTAAGTCCGTTGCTACGAGTCCTATCCTGCTCGGATATTATAAGAACTTTATCTATATCGCCTTTATTGATTCCTTTCACCCACTTAAATACTTCTATCATATCTCCCGGTACTCTTCGTCTTTCTAGGGAATGCACGTTTAGTTCTTTTGACCTATCTTGATATGGAAGGTTTCTAAGACCCGGAATAATTTTCGTCATTCTTCGCTGCACCGACTGCAGTGAATAGATATCCATTCTATAATAAGGGCACCAGAACTGAACTGCATAATCGAGGTGCGGCCTGACTAACGCAAGATATAGTTGCAATAAGACCTCTGCACTCTTATTACTTACACTTCTAGATATAAAACCTAATACTCTGTTTGCCTTATTTCGAACATTAACGCACTGTTTTCTAGGCCGTAGGTCCGGGCTTACATGTACCCCTAAGTCTCTTTCACAAGTCGACCTTTCTAGGTTGATGTTGTTAAGGCTGTATACGTTGACAGTATTTGTTCTACCAATATTAAGTACGCTGCACTTGCTGGTGTTGAATTTCATTTGCCATTTCTCTGACCACTCCTGCAGTTTATTTAAATCCTCCTGTAGTGCATTTACATCCTGCCCTGAATTAATCTGCCGCCCTATTTTGGTGTCATCCGCAAACTTGCTAATGTCACTGCTGATCCCAGTATCTAGATCGTTTATATAGATTATGAACAAGAGTGGGCCCAGTACTAACCCCTGGGGGACCCCACTGGTTACACAGCCCCACTCAGATTTAACACCATCTACGCTGACCCTCTGTGTTCTGTCTGTGAGCCACGATTTTATCCAATTTAAGACTATCCACTCGATACCATGAGCCTTAACTTTTCTCAGAAGCATCTAATGTGGTACTCGGTCAAACGCTTTGCTAAAGTCTAAGTAAATAACATCGTAATTATCGTCATTATCTACTACCTCGAAGACTTTCCTAAAAAACGTCAGCACATTTGTTAGACAAGATTTTCCCTTTGTAAACCCATGTTGAGAGTCGTAGACTAATTTGCTTTTTT